TGAATGAACTCACTAGTTGTGTGTTTAGGGTCCGATACATAGCTCCTCGCGTCAGTTTTACTGATTCTTGGCCTTTATAGGACAACCTCTTGCTGAATAACCAGGCTATTACCCAAGAGACCTGGTTGTTCCCTTTAAAAGGATGAGGGGATACCCTCAGACTGGTGACGCATTCTTGATCCAAGGAATTTGAACTTCTTCCTTTCGATCAAATTCTTATACCAGGTGCAATGACTCCTATGTGAATAAAGGAAGAATCGGGCTGTTGGTACCACAGACCAGTTGATTGATTTGGTGGAACCTGTTGTGTTCTCTTTTTGAAGACAGAAATTCTCTATTGTTATTGACCCATATATTTGAAGGCTATATATGTTTCTTTTGCTTATAGTTGCTTATCATTGTCAGTATTTTGCAGCTGGCTGGCGTTCCTCTTGTTCCCGTCAGGTTGCTTTTATTGTATAAGTAAGGAACCACTCCCTGGTCTTCCTTCATTTGTATGGAAAATTGCGCCTGACCTTGGTTGGGGGCAGGAAGAGTACATAAGAACATAAAGAAGGAATAGTGTAGCAGACCTACTGGCCCATGCGAGGCAGGTCCATGTCATCCCCCGGCCTAGTCAGGTCACATCCACTTAAGGAAGTAGAATCCTTGAAAAGTGTCACGGGTATGACGCAGGTCTTAACTATATGTGATAACCCTTTTGAGTCGCTCTGGTGCTTCTAGGTGTAAATTATGATGTAACTGGGTGAGGTAGGGCAACTTGTCTAATTATTTAGTAGGTGGTGTGTATACCTGGAGTATACCTAAAGAGGGTTTCGGTGGTCAACGCCCCCGCGACCCGGTCTGTGACCAGGCCACATGGTGGATGTGTAGCATTACCCTTGACACCTAGCGTGTACCAGCCTTTCCCTGGCATCACTATTAGTATTAGCTGAGTGGGTAGCGGTGTGTATGTGTGCGTGTGCGTGCCTGCGTGCTTCACCCACCGGATACAACAATATTCTCACCTTCCCATCTTCCTTGCTCCCTCTACTTCTCTTACTCTGCCTGCACAGTAATGGTTAACACGCACAGTCGGAACAAGGACGGTGGTACCTGGCCAGTCTCACGTTTTTACTATACCGACACTGTAAGGAAATAGATTGCTTAGATGACCAGAACCACAAGAACTCCAGCTGGATTCTTCGTTTCCCCAAGCTGTTTCCAATCATGTTATAATTTTTCCGAATTATAACCCATATAAATATTGTCGATTCGGGTCATCGGCTGTACGGCCCGGTCACAGACCAGGACTCCTGGTTAAGTAATTGTTGTCAAACCAGTGATATTTTTAAGGTCTGGTTCCCCTCGAGGGAGGTTCCTTGATGCTGGTGAGGGGCTCTTGATCTTGGGTATTGGATATTTGCTCCAGTTCCCTGAATTAAGCCTGAATGCCTTCATCCACTGGCGCTGTATAATCCCTACGGATTTAGCGCTCCATGATAATACTTCTACATAAGGTTTCGTTTAAAAAAGTCTAAATTATATATTTAGAGAAAGTACAGTGACCTTTCACTATCGTATGAATTCTGTCAAAAGCTGAAGTTATTGGAAATGTCAAGTCCCTTTAACTACAGGAGTGTTGGCTAGAAAGGTATTTTATAAGTTTAACTGGAAAAGGCTGGAGTCATGAAGAACCTTAACTCTCAATCTACAAGTGCCTGATCAGTGATCAGTAGAGTTGAAATTACTGTAACCTGCATGCATGCCACTAACATGAACACCCTAGTTGACCAGGCGATCAACAGGCACACCGAGCTCCAGGCAGTGCCTCGAGGGTAAGAAATCCTTCTCCCAGGAAGCCTCACCCTTTGACAGTAAATCATGCATTTATTGTGTGTAACGTTTCGTTTGATGAACCCCTATACAGAACGAAAAGTTGTGGAAGGTAAAATCGTTCTCTGTGTATGTCTTTTACTTCACAATAGGCGAATGTAAGTCACGACTGATGATGGTTTCCAAATACCGTCACTAAAATTCAGAGACATTAAGTCGAGTGAGAGATTAACTGGTAAGTTATAAGCGAGCCAAGAGCATTTCAGCACCCACCCTTTAAATATAAGAGCAATTACCTAAAAACCCTTCACACACTTCGAGGGGAATTACCTGAGACCCCTCACACACTTCTTGAGGTATCATACAAAGGGGGGAGGGGTAAGAGATCCCTTTCTACTCGTGATTTAACACTTTACACCGCTTATACTCAGTCAACACTTTATGTATAGAGGAAATTCTGTACTTGGAAAAACGATATACAGATATTGGAGAACATTATTATATAGTGGTAGTAGTAATAATATTATGGGGAGTATATTATTGCTGATAAATAAGACGCATGGGATAGTTGGGCATCATTATTCCGATGACGTTTCGCCCACCAGTGACTTTCTTCATTATACAGAGATTATATGAAGGTGTTGAAACTGGAGGCAGTAGAAAATGAACTAATCAGTCCCCAGATGTTCACCACCGTAGGTTTGATGACTCTCAAGCATGAGTGCAATTAATGCTACCATGGAATTACTGGTAAAATACCACTTATACAAGGTTACTGGGAGGGTGATGTAATGCTATGTGAAGGGAGGTTACTACAGTGATTATTATAAAACTGTGAGAAATGGAAATGGGTACCTCAGCATCACTGCTATAGTACCACTGCTGCAGTACCACTTCTACTCTTATCTAAGCCTCCACCTGGGTACTTTAGTACCACTGCAGTATTCTTAATCCTGAAATATTTCGTTTCCAATTTAGTAGGCTTGGTCTGAGGCCTATTTACTCAAGGCCTTGGGAAAATCCACAGAATCAATAAATAATAGATGTAACCCCCCTTCTCTCTGTCCGTCCCTTCCCCCTCTCTCTTCATCTCTCCCTCTGTTCATCTCTCTCTCCCTCTGTTCATTTCTCCCTCCCTCTGTTCATTTCTCCCTCCCTCTGTTCATTTCTCCCCCCCTCTCTGCATCCCTCCCTCCCTCTCTGCATCCATCCCTCTCTCTTTCTCTCTCACACACATTTCACGTTCCTCCAGCTCTCCTGGAAACCCTTAACTAAAGACACCGTAGCTGTTGAATAATACTTAACGAAATCCTCATCGCCCTACTGAAGTCTTCCAACTCATTCTGACGCATTTCCTTATCTGATAATCGAAACCCAGCCTTTGTGAATATAATAAGTGAAAGTACCACAACTTCATAGAGTGAGAGACATGGGAGGAAATTTTAAAATAAACACAGTGAAAAGCAAGGGCGCCGCAGGAGCAGTAAGTGAATCCCGTGTCAACATCCGTGTCCCAAGACTGCTACCAGTAGATATCAGAAATAATAGGGGAACAAATGTTTTCAAACGGAAACTGGACCACTACCTCCAAATCAATGAGGCTGTGGTAACTATGTGGGCCAGCAGACTGCCAACAGCAACACCTGGTTGACCAAGCAGTCAGCAAGGAAGGCTGGTCTCCGAGCTAGTCTGGAAGACTAGAACAAATATCGTATTTTGAATTCTATCACATATAGCTTTTATTACTACTATATTTTCTCAGACTAGGGTAGCAGCAAACTGCAAATATATCCGGTTTTGTTAAATTAAGAGTGGGAGTTAGCATCAGCTAGAGTAGTATTATATTTTAATGTAGAGGGGTGTGTGTGTGTGTGTGTGTGTGTGTGTGTGTGTGTGTGTGTGTGTGTGTGCGTGTGTGTGCGCGCGCGCCAGGTGCAACACTGACTGGTAATTAGAGGTGGTTGGCCATGGATGATTTCCAAAACCAAGGTGAGCCACATCCTGCGGCTCTCACCCTTCTTTCTGCACCTCCCCTGCGGCTCTTACCCTCCTTTCCGCACCTTCCCTGCAGCTCTTACCCTCCTTTCTACACCTCATCTGCGGCTCTTACCCTCCCTTCCGCACCTTCCCTACAGCTCTCACCCTCTCTGGCACATCTGCGGATCCTACCCTCCTTTCCACACCTCCCTGCGGCTCTTACCCTCCCTTTGGTACCACTTGACAGCTCTCACCTTTATTGCCGCTCCACGTGCTTCTCCGCACTTCCTCCCGAAGCACCTGCGACTCTTACCCTCACTCCCGCACATCCCCCTCCAGCTACCCGTTCCCCCACTCCCCATCCCAGCAGCCTTCTCAGCACCCTCCTCAACACAGCATGGACCAGCACATTATCAAACGTATAAATAAATTAGAAAAAATCCTCTCTTGTTTTGAATGTTTCAGTTATCAGCCTTATATTGTCCTTACAGTTGTGATAACATTTTGTGATCCTTGAATGTAAGATCCCCTGGATGATGTGAATGTTTTGGAAAACTGACAAGTTGAAGAAGGAAACACTTGTGCAACATTTGGAAATCTTATTGAGGAAATGTTGCCCCAGTCTGTGGCTTCTTCAGTCAAATACAAAGAAGAAAGGTGGAAAATCCACTGACATAGTGAGTTCCAAGTCTCTCTCAACTATACGTCTTATTCTTCATTTCAGTTTTTTAATTCCTCAATTTTTTTCATAGTGGAGGAACTGAACTTTGTTCTTGAACATATTGTAAGTGATCCACTGGAAAACTTGGTTTATTATCAACATGAATGTTCACTGTGTCCTGGATGGATGCCACTCATGTACAGTTTCTAGTATCGCTGTCAAAGAATGATAGTATGCTGTAAACTATGTCCCAGTCTGTTTATCAATAGAATATACCGACAGATATGTTAATAAAACACAGTATTGAGTTTATGGCATTTTATCGAGAAGTCTCGTCCACCAGGGACTTCCGACTGTTCTCGCAGAGATGGGTGAAGAAGGAGCATATGCATATAGTGGAGAGACGTGAACTGTAGAGATGGGCTGGTGTCACCTGCAGTGATGTTGTTATTGTATATCATTTATAAATATGATACATTCTTGGTAAGGTCAGCTATGGTGTTGTAGGTCAGACATTGAGTTTTTTTTTTTTTTTTATCTTTTACAGGAAATCCAGATCCCCGGGCGCAACAATGGAGGCTCCAAGTTTGCCTTTTCTCTGCAAAGCATCCAGGATCCCGATGGGCCGCAGGGCAGCTTCGAGTTCATCAAGCAATTTGGCTCCAGGTATAACACTTCTTCAAATTTACTCTTTTCATCAAAGGAATCAAATTCGTTTTTTTTTTTTTTTCAGACAATCGATCAGGTTGATAGTTGGAGCAATACTGGGTTTGTCAACATCACCAGTACTGGATTCATCAACATTATTACCAGTTCATAGCAACCCGAAGAGAATACCATCTTTTTCATTGTGTACTCGCCTAATTGTGGTTGCAGGGGTCGAGACTCAGCTCCTGGCCCCGCGTGTATGCATGCATTTGTGTACGCGTGTGTACGCTTGTGCATGCATGTGTGCACACGTGTAAGCATGTGTGCATGCATTAATGTATGTGCGTGTAAATGTGCACTCACCTATTTGTGGTTGCAGGGGTCGATTCATACCTCCTGGCCACGTCTTTTCGCTGGTCGTTACTAGGTACACAGCAGCGCTGTATAGCCCTTGTGGCTTAGCGCTTCTTTTTTATTATAAGAATAATAAATACTAGGTACACTCCCTGCTCCATGAGCTTTATCATGTGTGTGTGTGTGTGTGTGTGTGTGTGTGTGTGTGTGTGTGTGTGTGTGTGTGTGTGGACGCGGACGCGGACGTGTACGTACGTACACACACATTTTAGCTCCTAGCCCCCAGCCTCTATTTGACGCTTGCAAGAATCATTCTCGCCTAGCCTCATGGGTCCTATCGTACCTGCTCTTAAAACTATGTATAGCGGTCATTCAATTTCCCAACCATTCTGAAATTTAAAAAAAAAATACTTCCTGACGTCCTTGTGGTTCATGTCTTAATTTACAGCTGTACCCTGAAGTATATACCGTACCTGTTTCCTGCTTCTCAAACTCTCTATCTGCCCTACCCATTCTTCTGAGTATTTAGTACTGTTGTTATGTTTATCCATGGTTCTACCCTTCAGTATGGTTAAATTGAATTTCGATACCCAGTCATCGTGGCTGATGATGCCCTTTAGTTCTGGAACTAGTTTTGAGTGGGATTTGCATATGAATGAATAGAGTTATCAGAGCTTATTTTTTGGGTAGCATTGAAAATTAGGTTGGGCAAATATTTTGTTAGTGGGATGGATTGTAAAGTACCTGCCTAATATGGGCCAACAGGCCTGCTGCAGTGTTCCTCCTTTCTTGTTCTAACTAGTCTCATTATTTACCTCTGCATACACTCCAGTTACTTAACAAGCATTATTTTCAGGGTTGGGTTCCATACTAGTGCTGCATACTCCAAGATGGACCTGGCATATGTTGTATAAAAATCCCAGAATGACTCTTGTTGTTAATTTAAGTGCTTGACTGAATTTTGCCAGCAGAGGTAGGAAGTGTTGCTTGGAACTGATTTATTTCTGCAGTAAATGCTGGATCAGCCAGGTTGTGATGGTTATGTGAGCCTATGATACACCTGTGGTAAAGGACACTTGTGTACAGTTCAGAACATTTAATAAAGGAAATGTTTTGCAGCGAGTCGTTTGACCAGTCCAGTCCTCAATATTACTAATATAGTCACTCATGGTGAAACATTTCCTCTAATGAACGTCCTGAACCATTACACAAGTGTCTTTTTCCATAGTTTGTTGGTATCATCATATCATCATAAGTAAAACTTTGAAAACTGTTTACAGTGGCTTTACACATATGTAATAAGTAACTATCTACAAGTTGATAAATTAGACACATGTGCAACTCTTGGGTATCTTTATTGAGGAAACGTTTTGCCACACAGTGGCTTCATCAGTCCATACATAGGAGAAACTTGAAGAACAGGAGGAGAATGAGGTAATCAGTCCCTCAACCTTGAGTGGACTGAACACATCGACTCAAGGTTGAGGGACTGATTACCTCATTCTCCTCCTGTTCTTCAAGTTTCTCCTATGTATGGACTGATGAAGTCACTGTGTGGCGAAACGTTTCCTCAATAAAGATACCCAAGAGTTGCACATGTGTCTAATTTATCAACATGTCGGTTCTCTGAACCATTCATCTACAAAACTATCTACAAGAAAGAATTTGGCCGATGCTTTTAAACATTTCTCATCAGTCATACTGATAAGACTGCATGCCCTGAATTCTAACTGCAACTCACCAAACCAGCAACCAGAAAGCCTGGTTTAGAATTAGGCTGTGATGCTGAGGATCTCAGGAACCATCAACAGGTCTATAATAAAAACAGTAATGAAAAGTTTCATGAGGAAATGGTATGGTGATACCGACAAGATGTGGAAAAAGACACTAATGTACAGTTCAGCACATTTATTAAAGGAAACGTTTCCTTTAATAAATGTCCTGAACTGTACATTAGTGTCTTTTTCCACAAAAGTTTCATACTGAGGATGTGATATTTAGGCCCCTTGATTTTTTTTTTTCACCCAATTTCTTGTTGAAGAGTTAGAGTTCCAGAGTGAGTCTATTGCAACTTATATAAACATGCTGTCACCAGCTTCCTTGAAATTCAGTTCGAGTAATTCAGTATGTGGGCCAAGTTTGGCATCCCATTCTTGAGGTGCTGTCTTGGTTTATCATTCTTTAAGTGTGTTTAATGGTTTACTGAACAGAGGAATCTCTCTCATATTTCTCAGTTAAGCCAATGCCCAATACTGTATATATTTTTCTAGTATTTTTTAATACCCCTGTGTGCCCTGTACTTATATGCATGTATAGTGTTTTCCTTCTGCTCTTTTGTTCAGTATGTATATGCTTGACTACCTAATACCTCAGTCATTTAATATGACAACAGATCATATGTGTAATTTAAATTAATTTACATTTTCCTTTATCTTTACTGTGCAATCTTTTATGAACAGTTTACTTTACCTTAGTATAGCTATTTATTAAAACATTTTATATTTAGTTTCATAAATACATTTTTTTACTCCACATTTTACCACATGATTTTGTTGACAGAGCACTGGAATCTCTTGGACCAATGGTAGGCAAAGTGTGGATCCAGGCAAAGGATGATTCATATGAGAAGACCCGACAGAGCATGGAGAATGCCAAGATTAAGAACCAAATGAACTGGTGAGTAGGATCATATTGGTATAACCTTGTTTAGTGAAAATACTGCTTAGCATATACAGTAGGTAAGACCTAATTTGCTGTATAGGTGGGGCCCTCCTGCTATATTTTGGCTGGTGCAAGTTCTGGTGAGTTTCTGCTGTATCTGTGGTGTTTACATGACAGAGGTACTCTGTCACGTAAACACCACCATGTAAATCATGAGAACTGTAATTAAGATAAAATGGCTTTATTAAAATTAGTTTTTTATTAAAAAAGATTTATTTTATGAAGCGATGGAAGTGCTCATTGATTTGTAGTTACAGGGGTTGAGTCATGGTTCCTGGTCTCATCTCTTAACCCTTAAACGGTCCAAACAGATCAGCGTTCAAATTCGTATTGCTACAAAAATAGATCTACTTTTTTTACATATTTTCAAATATAACAAAAAAAAAATGTAGATAAAAGTTTTTTTTTACACATTTTCAGATGTGAAACAAAAAAGATCTACATTTTTATACATATACTTTCATATGTTGAAAAAACGTATATATACGTTTGGACCATTTAAGGGTTAAATTATATTGACTGGCTGTACTGATTCCTGGTCTCTTGAACCCTATCATGTTTCCTTTTGAAATTGCATATGGATGGTACCTCAACTAATTCCTCATCTAGCAGCTTACACTTAATAACATCCGCAGGTAATTTACACTATGCACGATAAATGTACTTATGTGTACCTGTACCTGAATAAATAATCTGTATTTTTACAGGTAATTTTCAACTATTAACATCTTGTACCTGATCGTTGCATTTGAAGCTGTGTAATATCACTCCTCATTATGAGTTCCTCGAGTATAGTACAGTTTGTAATTACGTCATCTCTTGCACTTCTATCTTCCAAGATTGTTAGGCTCACTTCTTTTAGAATATCATTTATATTTTCATGCCAGGTTTGGTTGGATATCTCTATGTTTTTGTGCTCTTTGATACACTGAACTGGGTTTTTTTTTTTTTCACTGAGCATATCTTTAACCCATGAATCATGTCTTTAATACCAGGGCATGTCTTTTACTCCAAAGAGCATCTTTTACCTTCAAAGCATGTCTTTTACTCCAGAAAACATCTTTGACCCCCAAAGTATATCATTTGATATGCTCTGGGAAGACAGCAATTGAATGAATGATGGTGAATGTATTTTTTTTTTTTAGGGAAGTACCCCTAACTCAGCTTGTTAAAAAAAATAGTTGTACTTAGTTTTTATCCTTGAAATTTCATTTCTTTTAATTCAGTATCTTATAATTAATGTACAGTACTGTACATGAGAGTTTGGTAATTTAGTACGTATACGAGAGTTGGGCAAGTTGTATTTCCATTTGCCAAGTCTAGTGAAAATGTATATAATGTCTTTAATGTATCCTGTGTACATATCTGCAACTAGTTGTGGTACTTGTTACTTACAGAAAAAAATTTGATTTCAGTGTTAAGGAAGTAAAGACCAATTCCAGCAGCCCTTTTGTGCGTCAACGATCCTTCCCTGTCAAAAAGTCCTCAACGCTGGTAGTTCCACCACCAAAGAAGGAAGTTGTAGCTGAATTACCATCTAATAATAGATACAATCAAAACACATCCAATTCACCACAAAGAACACACACCGGTGGAACGGTGGGTAACACTCCGCCAGCTGGTAAACCACCGCCACCGCCACCTCCACCTAGTACTGTTACTGCTAAGAAGAGTAACCCTGATCTAGTTAGAAGACCTCTTAGGTAAGTGTTTTCTTGCTCTCAAAATTTGTATGTAGTTAATTTCTACCTTAAAATTCAGTGTGTACATTTTCAGGTAGAATGGCATCATTACCAGTGCATGCATGCATGCATGTATATGTGGTAAAAGAAGAGCCATACATCAATCACTTTGATGATGAGCCATCCATCATTCACTTTATGATATCAAAGGCAGAGATGATGTGCCATCCATTATTCACTTTGATATCCAAGGCAGAGAAGATGTGGCATCCATTATTCACTTTATGATATCCAAGGCAGAGATGATTCATTAAAGAGAATAAGTGGCAGTTTTCTAATACCAAAGTCACTCTGAAGCTGAGCACTTTCATCTCAGTAGATCATTCATTTCTTCAGTGCCTTGGTTTACATAGGCTTCCTCAGCAATAATCTAATATGGCCTGAAAGTAGTCAGTGATGTAGCAGAAAGAAAGGGTTTCTTTAACTGAAACATTGACTTGTTCGCAGTGAGGATCAAAAATAATTTTTAACACAATTTATTGAGTGAGTGAAAATGCATAATAAATTCCCAGATACTAATGCTTTTCACTTAAGAAAAAGATGTGATATTTTTTAGTTTACAGTGCTATTTCTTTTATATTTTTTATTTAATGATAACATTGTGGGTATAATAGAGTCCTTCAGAAAATCAGAGTACAGTGGACCCCCGGTTAACGATATTTTTTCACTCCATAAGTGTGTTCAGGTGCCAGTACTGACCGAATTTGTTCCCATAAGGAATATTGTGAAGTAGATTAGTCCATTTCAGACCCCCAAACATACACGTACAAACGCACTTACATAAATACACTTACATAATTGGTCGCATTCGGAGGTAATCATTATGCGGGGGTCCACTGTATATCTTTTATTCAGTAGTATTCAGTAGTATTATATATTAATCAGAAACGGTATAGCTCCTAATATATACCATAACGATTTTCATCTTCTAAGGCACCAACATACATAATTTGGTTTATGTAAAATTTTAGTTTTCTTGTCTTCTTGACAAATGTGAAAGGATGAAAGATTACGAGCATACATTTTGTGACATGATGTAAATAAGTACCTCCCTAGACTGTATAAGTTGGAATCTTCTTAGTATAGTAAGTTGTTCTTTATGACTCTGAATGTTTTCCAGTGTTTGACAGGGTATAGTGCACATTTTTTCTTTCCAGACTGTGTTCCTTCAGCTTCTGAAATTTTCTCTCTAGATTAATTTTGAGCTTTATCTCTTGTCAGATTGATCACTTGTTGTGGTCTGCAAGGTCTTGGTCTGTTTCCTTTTCTTATTCTTCATTAATGATCTCAGTACTGAACCTCCAATGCTTTTTCACTCCTAGTTTGGTAAATCCACTTTACACTCTTCACACTTTACTAATGATAATTTTGCAGTGTGCAGCCTACTTTTTTTTTATTAGATATTAGTTCCATCTCTGTATGGGGTCTAGTGATTTATGTAAATTCAGTTATTTTAAAGTGCAGTTTTTGCTTGTCACAATAAAGCATATTGGTGCTCATTATCAGGTTTACTTGAAAAGTACTTATCTCCAACCTCAGTCTGCTATCACTTTCTAATTAATCAACTATGTTTTCTGAGCCTCTTATTCTGCAAATTACAACTAAGTATGTCCACAAAGTTTGGGATTCTCTTCACATTTAAGAGAAATACTGTATTTTACTAATCACTTAACCTCTACAAAAGTCTTATTTTTCCTTACCTAGAGTATTTCTCTCACATCTAGAGGTAAGCTCTTTCCCTCTCAGTTCTGCCCTTGTCTAGAGTACCTCTCACACACTTGGGAAAACTTCTACTCTGTTCCACCATTGAGTATTTCTCTCACCCAGGAAAGCCTTTTTCTTTCTGTCCCACCTTTGTGTAGGGTAGAAAGCTCTTCTACTACAAAAGTTGCATATTTTCCCATGCTGTTGCATTTTCCTCCCAGGACCTCTAATACCACCTTGATATCGCCATTGTAATTCATTGCATTTTCTTGTATGTTGTGCCTGTTGGTTCTTTTAAAGTAGAATACTATAGCTTCTTGTTTTTTATTCCACAACCATTTTGTGGAACAAGCTACTGTGACATCATATATCTTCCCTGACACCTTTGATCTCTAGTAATAACAAAAAAAAAAGGCACAATACCGTGATTGGAATGATACACAAATAACCCGCACATAGAAGAGAGGAGCTGACGACGACGTTTCGGTTCGACTTGGACCATTTATAAAGTCACACTAACGAGAAGTAGAGCAGGACAGGTATATGTAGGCAGGAAGTGGTAGCGGTAGTAGTAGTAGTAGTAATAATAGTGGTAGTGCCGGAGGTGGAAGGAAATAGTGGTGGGGAAGTAAGGAGGAGGAGCCAGTCAAATACTAAGAAAGGGGAGCACTGCAAGGGAGCTAGGTGCCTTCAGAGGAAGAGCAAGAACACAGAGGTAGGGGGGGGAATAAAATAAATAACGAAGGAACAGAAACATAAGGCAGAAGAAAGAAAGACAACCCAGAAGAGAAAAAAGAGGAAAGGGGAAGAGGGAGAAGAAGAAAAAGGAGGAATCAGGTTAAGTCACAGGTGTTCTGAAGTTTGGAGCATTTTACAATGTAGTGAGAGAGAAAGGCATCTACAGAGACGAAGCCAGGACTAAGATTCATACAAGGAAAGTTGTGTATTAGGGAGGATTCAACTAGACGGCGACTGTTAAAGTTGGAAGTAGGGAAGACAGTTTTAGCAGAAGACCAGTCAATAGGATGCCTGTGATCTCTGACGTGACAGAAAAAAACATTGTTAGTGTCGGCAATCCTAACACTATTTTTGTGCTCCCTAAGTCTGTCAGAAAGAGATCGGCCAGTTTCTCCAAAGTATTGAAAAGGACAGGAGGAGCAAGAAATAGAGTAGACACCACGAACATCTGTAGAGGAAGGAGAGGTATGAATGAGATTAGTGCAAAGAGTGTTAGTCTGGCGGAAAGTAAGCTTGATGTCTAAGGAACGGAGAGAGTTGTTGAGATTAGAAAGAACGGAAATGTAGGGAAGGCAGAGGACAGAAGAGTTCCCAGTAATAGAGAGTTTGGGAGAGAAGAAATTACGTTTAGCATGTGAGAAGGCAGAGTCTATGAAATGGGAAGGGTAGCCAAGACGGGAAAACGAATTATGAAGAGTGGAGATTTCTGCTGGAAGGAACTGAGGATCACAGATGCGGAGGGCACGGAGAAAGAGGGAGATAATAACACTTTTCTTGACAGGGGATGCATGATAGGAAAAGTAGTGAATGTACATGTCACTGTGCATAGGTTTGCGGTAAACGGAAAAGGAAAAACCTGTATCTGAGTAGTGGACGTGGACATCAAGGAAAGGAAGCAAGGAATTAAATTCCCATTCAGCTTTAAACTTAATGGAAGGGGCAAGATTATTAAGAGCTTCAAGGAAAGGTTGGAAAAGACTAGAGTCATGAGGCCACAGAGCAAAGATGTCATCTACTTAGCGGAGCCAGAGTGAAGAGGTGTCTGTTAAGTTTACCTTCTGGACAGTAGCTGTTGTTTAATTGTTTTTCCAGTGACTCTTCTATTGCTAAGTATTTATGATTTTTTTTTAAGCTTAGAATAAGAGTAGAGGCTGTATAGGCATGTGTTTACTGAGTGTACCCATTTTACTAGTGCATATTTTCTCGTAAGTATATATCTGTTTCTAGTACTATCCTGTGTGTTAGAAGTGTTTGGATTTCCTGTTGATTACAGTTCTATGGGATTGATTGTTTTCTGAGCCTATACTTCTTTATATGTCTTTTCTTCTTCTTCTTTCAACAAACCGGCCATATTCCACTGAGGCAAGGTGGCCCAAAAAGAAAAACAAAAGTTTCTCTTTTTAAATTTAGTAATTTATACAGGAGAAGGGGTTACTAGGCCCTTGCTCCCGGCATTTTAGTCGCCTCTTACAACACTCATGGCTTATGGAGGAAGAATTCTGTTCCACTTCCCCATGGAGATAAGAGGAAATAAACAAGAACAAGAACTAGAAAGAAAATAAGCAGAAAACCCAGAGGGGTGTGTGTGTATATATATGCTTGTACTTGTATGTGTAGTGTGACCCAAGTGTAAGTAGAAGTAGCAAGACGTACCTGAAATCTTGCATGTTTATGAGACAGAAAAAGGACACCAGCAATCCTACCATCATATAAAACAATTACAGGCTTTCGTTCTACCATCATATAAAACAATTACAGGCTTTCGTTCTACCATCATATAAAACAATTACAGGCTTTCGTTTTACACTCACTTGGCAGGATGGTAGTACCTCCCTGGGCGGTTGCTGTCTACCAACCTACTACCTAGGTTCTTTATATGTATATAGTATTATATTGGATAGATTTAAGAAGACAGTTTTATCAGCATTTACTAGATGATAACCATACAATTACTATTAAAAACTGTGTTATGGGAATTTCTTGGTAATGTTGAATTGCTGATTTGTTTATATTTTAAATTTCGTTAATATAAAATGTATTCACTGTATGACAATGTAACTAAAATAATGTTAGGCACATATCAGAATTAGAGATGTATGTAAAAGTGACGGGTGGCTCAACTTTCAGTTGAGGGACCAGGGTGTGATCCTAGTGCAAGTGGAAATGTTAGACATGTTTCCTTTCACCTGTTGCTCTTTTTTACCTACCAGTAAGTAGGTTCAATATGTGGATGTTAGCCAAGTATTATGGGTCACATCACAGAGGGTATTATTATTATTTTTTTTTCAACGAATCGGCTATATCCCACCAAGGCAGGTGACCCAGAAAGAAAAACAAAAGTTTCTCTTTTGAACTTTAGTAATGTACACTGGGGAGGGGGTTACTAGCCCCTTGCTCCCGGCATTTTAGTCACCTCTTACGACACGCATGGTTTACGGAAGAAGAATTCTGTTCCACTTCCCCATGGAGATAAGAGGAAATAAATCAGAACAAGAACTAGTAAGAAAATAGAAGAAAACCCAGAGGGGTGTGCATATATATGCTTGTACATGCAAATGTAGTGTGGCTTAAGTGTAAGTAGAAGTAGCAAGATATACCTGAAATCTTGCATGTTTATTAGACAGAAAAAAGACACCAGTAATCCTACCATCAAGTAAAACAATTACAGGCTTTAATTTTACACTTTCTTGGCAAGACGGTAGTACCTCCCTGGGTGGTTGCTGTCTACCAACCTACTACCTAGGAGAAGAGGGTATTAGTATGCATTCAATTGAGTTAGGCTTTGAAATAAGCTGATGTAGGATACCAGCTCCTGTAAATTCAGCTGTGTGAAATAAATAAGCATAATTAGAATTGTAAACATTAGTGAGAATACATTTATTAATATGTATTTCTTCCTGTACAGAGAAAGAATCATCCAACTTCTGGCTGTGAAGAATTACAGGAAACCTGAGATATTAAATAAATTATATAGTGGTAAGTGAAACATTTTATATAACATTAAGTAGTAGTAGTAGTTACCAGTTGTCAAAGGCACCTATCAACAGACATTTGGCCTGGATATGTGTGTGTGGACTCATCTCGTTGTACTCACCTAGTTGTAGTTGCAGGAGTTGAGTCACAGCTCCTGGCTCCATCTCTTCACTGTGTGTGTGTGTGTGTGTGTGTTTCTGTGTGAGAGATTTTAGCTTGTTTGTGAGTGTACTCACCTAATTTAGTCTCTACAGGCATCAGGTAATAGCTCCTGGTCCCTCCTAATATTATCGACTGATTTCACACATTTTCTGGCCTCTCATACTGAAAAAATATATGTGAGAATCATGGACCATGAAAGAAGAGTGAGAGAGAGAAAAAAAAATGAAGGAATGAGTGAGAATGATAGAGGGAGTGAGAATGTAATGGGGTGAGTAAATATGAGTGAAAGTGAGTGAAAGTAAGAGAGAAAGAGAACTGTGGAATGGGTCTACCTGGAGAAGAATGACCAATTTAAGAAGAATGACCATTTAAGAATGAGAAAGAGTGAGTGAGAGTAAGAAGAGTAAGAGCATGTAGGTAATGACAAGAGTGATATAGTGAATGATAAGAGCAAAGATGGGGAGTTAACAAGGGCACAACATCATACATAGTAAAACAACAGACATAAACACAACTGTAACAGAATACGAGAAACACCACCACCGCCACTGCTAGTTCTACTGGTAGTAGCACCACCATAGTGTGGAGTTTATTGTGTTGTTCTCATTATCTGTCCCATTACGCATGTGGTTTTTCTTTAATAACAATAGTGAAGTAGTAGATAGCTGGAATATGCACTAAGATGAGATAATTTATGCTGTAACTCCCGAATACCTTCACTGATTAACATGTCAAAATAATTTTATTAGGCGGGACTCCACAAACATTACTCATTTTTACAAATAGGTAATTATGTATATACACATGCTCTGGACAGAATATAATGAAACAGTGTCATAGGAATGCAGTTAGAAACCTGAGTAGATCTATCATTCACTGTGATAACATAAGTACATTTATGGAGTAACTTGCAATGTGAACAGACTGACTGATGTTATAGTAGCCAGGCTTAGGCTTGGTTACAAGTACCTCTAGAAGTTTGGCAAGCACACAGATGATGATCAAACTAAATACAAAGTATGTGATCAGCCTTAATTTTTTTTTTCAACACTGTATGCATCAGTGTCCACTTATTGAGGAATATAGAGATAGACTTTACAATTACCTATGTGATATGTCACTATCTTATTAATGAAAATAAGATATCAGACATATTAAGCAAATATCTTAAATTTGCTTGCATCAGGATGTACTCCTGTTAACCCTTTTTTGGCTTAGCTCTTAGGCCTTTGTGTATCCATATTTTCTTTCGCTACCGTCCACAGGATAAATATGGGGCACACAGTAAACTAGCCGCTTTGGCTGCAAACTCTAAACGCTTATGAACATGTAATTTGTGTGTACAGTGCACATATACACACATACTGTAGTTTTTGATTGATAAGAGTTCTGAAGAATTCTTTTAAGTCTCAGTGTCACCCCCCCCCCCCCAAAAAAAAAAAAAAAAAAAAAAAAAGGCTATACACAATAGTAAAATAATTTTTAATGCCATTGAGGCTTAATACTATTTAATGCTTTAAACTACTTGGTAATACTGAAGAATATGTTCATTCACTGTGTGTACATATTGTGTGTGCATATTTAATTTTTATTTACTTACCAGATGGAGTTAAGGAGAAAGACAGACGTCAGATGACAAGTGTTTTAAACAGCGTCTCACAAATCAAAGAGAACATCCATCATCTTGCCCGACATCTCTGGAGTGAAGTTAAAGAAGATTGGCCTTTCTACACGGAAAAGGAGAAGGAAGTTGTTAAAAGGTGTGTGTAGGGCAGGACGTGTATACATACGCTAACATACATACATAAATATGTTTCTACCAAAATTTAATTGCCAAATTTTTAATTTTTGTTCTTAGCAAGGTTGAATTTGATTTCAGTATACTGTATTTCTCCTTTTTTTAGTAATATACTATTATATACAATATATAATACTAAATGAGGTGATACATAATGATAGGTCAGGTCTAGATAAATAAGATCCAAATTTGATACATTTATTTCAGAATGAAGCCACAAAGTTTAACTCCACCCAGTGGTGATAGTGGTCAGTCCCCAACCTCTACTCACTCTTTGTCCCCATCTTCAAGCTCACAAGGTGTTAAACGCCCTCATGAGGAAACAATAGATCCTACAGTCAAAAGAGCTCGGGGTTCTCGTTGGACTGGTACAAAATCCAGGAGAGAGAATTCTCGGTCTGAAACCAGATCCAGCAGTAACTTGGAGCTTAATACCCAGCCTGATAACAAGCCAAACTCTTATTCGCTGAACTCTTGCTCAAATAACAAACAGGTGAGCAATGGACGACACCACCAAGATGAACGGCCTCAGATAAATGGCACCACAAGTCCAAATAGGAAGCCATCTTCCACATCACCCATCAGTCAAGGTTCACCACGGCATCACCTCAATGGCTTACACACTCACCACACCTCAGGAAACCATTCGCCCATTAATGGTGTGACTAATGGCCTAACTAATGGCCATGGCAACCCTCACCACAGGACTAATGGACATACCAGATTGGATCCTTCAACACCGAATTCATCCCCAGATAGTCATTATGGTGGGGAGGAGATGCAACCAGAATACCAAAAGTATGTTGTGAACACATTACTCTTGTCTCTTAGCTTTTCACAATTGTTTTTTAAATTACTCTAATAACATTTAGATGCAAATTGTTTTCAGTTACCTTTAGAAGTTAAGGTACTCTCCTCAGACTAGAACATTTTTTCCTTGGGTCACTTTTTCATCACAACTGTGCGGGTCTTCATTGTTTTTATGAATTTCTTAAATGTTGACTTGTTTCTTTTCAGTTGCTTTGTCTTGAGGTTATTACTTTATAATATTACTTTATCACAGAATTGCATGCTGAAGTATTGCATATTCTCACTTACTTTATAAAAAGTGCAAGCGCTTGACGAAGGCTGTGTTTAGTCAAACTACCAAATAGAACATATTGGGATGTTGAGTCTCTAGCCAAAATTTTAGTGGAAACTGTTTATTTATTTTGCACTTGAAATAATAAAAACAGATCCTAATGCAAATATATACATAAGAGAAATGTTGTGCATATTCATGATTTAATTATAATGATGAGATTAATAATTTATCTGGTGATGTAGTATTTATAGAGCATGGTTAACCAGACTTAGGAGTCTTCAAGTGGATGTTTGACAAGTTAGTGCAAAATTTGCCTGATTGGCCAGATTGTGATGGCTATTGGGCCTGTAGTTTGCAAGCAACTGTAGCCTCATTAGGTGGGTACCAGGGAAGTCCAACCTCAGGCTAGGCTGTGTTAGTAGTTAACCCTATGAACACGCACACAAGTAATCACATGTTACAGGTAATCAGCCAGGGAAAACAGTAGGATGGATTACATGAACCTTCTAGACAAGGAATAACATATTGATGATCATGTTCTACAAAGCATTTGTACCCTTCTTGAAGTGCCATTTAAAGTTTCTTCTCCATTAATGGTAATTTTCACTCTTTTTTTAGTCTGGAACAATATGAGAGGTAGAAGATATGCTGAGACTTCTTGCTGGTTTCATAAAATCAGCATAACTTTTAAAATGCAGCCATTATTTTTGGAATATTCAGGATATACCTCAGGAATGAAGATCAGAATTACTAAACTTTTTTTTTTAACTTGTCAGCCATTTCCCACCAAGGCAGGGTGACCTAAAAAGAAAGAAAAAAAACTTTCATCATCATTCAATACTATCACCATCACTCATACATAATCACTATCTTTGCAGAGGCACTCAGATACAACAATTTAAATGCCCCTCCAAAATGCCAACATCCCAAACCCCTCCTTTAAAGTGCAGGCATTGTACTTCCTATTTCCAGGACTCAAGTCTGCCTAACCAGTTTCCCTGAATCCCTTCACTAAATATTACCCTGCTCACACTCCAACAGCTCGTCAAGTCCCAAATACCATTTGTCTCCATTCACTCCTGTCTAACACGCTCATGCATGCTTGCTGGAAGTCCAAGCCCCTTGCCCACAAAACCTCCTTTACCCCCTCCCTCCAAGCTTTTCGAGGATGACCCCTACCCCACCTTCCTTTCCCTACAGATTTATGCGCTCTCCATGTCATTCTACTTTGATCCATTCTCTCTAAATGACCAAACCACCTCAACAACCCCTCTTCAGCCCTCTGACTAATACTTTTATTAACTCCACACCTTCTTCTAATTTCCATAATCTGAATTCTCTGCATAATATTTACACCACACATTGCCCTTAGACAGGACATCTTCACCACCTCCAGCCGCCTCCAACCGCCTCCTCACTGCAGCGTTTACAACCCAAGCTTCACACCCATATAAGAGTGTTGGTACCACTATACTTTCATACATTCCCTTCTTTGCCTCCATAGATGTTTTTTGTCTCCACATATACCTCAGTGCACCACTCACCTTTTTACCTTCATCAATTCTATGGTTAACCTCATCCTTCATACATCCATTCGCTGACATGTCAACTCCCAAATATCTGAAAACATTCACTTCTTCCATACTCCTCCTCTTCAATTTGATATCCAATTTTTCTTTTTCTAAATCATTTGATACCCTCATCACCTTACTCTTTTCTATGTTCACTTTCAACTTTTTACCTTTACACATCTTTCTTTCTTTCAACACACCGGCCATATCCCACCGAGGCGGGGTGCCCCAAAAGGAAAAATGAAAGTTTCTCCTTTTACATTTAGTAATATGTACAGGAGAAGGGGTTACTAGCCCCTTGCTCCTGGCATTTTAGTCGCCTCTTACAGCACGCATGGCTTACGGAGGAAGAATTCTGTTCCACTTCCCCATGGAGGTAAGAGGAAATAAACAAGGACAAGAACTAGAAAGAAAATAGAAGAAAACCCATAGGGGTGTGTATATATATGCTTGTACATGTATGTGCAGTGTGACCTAAGTGTAAGTAGAAGCAGCAAGATGTACCTGAAATCTTGCATGTGTATGAGACAGAAAAAAAAAGACACCAGCAATCCTACCATCATGTAAAACAATTACAGATTTCCATTTTACACTCACTTGGCAGGACGGTAGTACCTCCCTGGGCGATTGCTGTCTACCAAACTACTACCTAGAACCTTTACACATATCTTTCTTCTTTCAACGCACCAGCCGTATCCCACTGACGTGGGGTGGCCCAAAAGGAAAAACGAAAGTTTCTTCTCTTAAATTTAATAATATATACAGGAGAAGGGGTTGCTAGCCCCTTGCTTCCGGCATTTTAGTCGCCTCTTACGACACACATGGCTTACGGAGGAAGAATTCTGTTCCACTTCCCCATGGAGATAAGAGGAAATAGACAAGAACAAGAACTAGAAAGAAAATAGAAGAAAACCCAGAATGGTATGTATATATATGCTTGTACATATACAGTATGTGCAGTGCGACCCAAGTGTAAGTAGAAGTAGCAAGATGTACCTGAAATCTTGCATGTGTATGAGACAGAAAAAAAAGACACCAGCAATCCTACCATCATGTAAAACAATTACAGGCTTCCATTTTACACTCACTTGGTAGGACGGTAGTACCTCCCTGGGCGGTTGCTGTCTACCAGCCTACTACCTAGAACCTTTACACATCTTTCTTTCAACACACTGGCCATATCCCACCGAGGTGGGGTGGCCCAAAAGGAAAAACGAAAGTTTCTCCTTTTAAATTTAGTAATATATACAGGAGAAGGGGTTACTAGCCTCTTGCTCCCGGCATTTTAGTCGCCTCTTATGACACGCATGGCTTACGGAGGAAGAACTCTGTTCCACTTCCCCATGGAAATTGCATATATATATTATATTTTTTATTTATTTATTTATTTATTTATTTATTTATTCATTAAATACTACTTAGGTTCCTAGGATAATTTAATTGATTTCTTTCATAAAATATGGAAACATGTACAGGTAAATGTATTATGTTTTTATCTATATTTTTTTTAGGAATTACTCAACAATTGTGTCGGTGGAACAACGAAGTCGATATAAAGCTGACTTTAATGAACAATATCAAGAGTATCTTGAGCTACATGGTTTCATACAAGAACGAACGCAGCCATTTAGTAACCTTGAGGAGCGGCTCAAGAATGAAACTCATGGTTCCGTGGAGTATAATGTAAGTATCTGCAATTTTATAAAGGTAGTGAGATGTGTGGATCGGGTACTTGCACAAACGCATGTAAGTGAGCAGTAGTTAGATAAGGGTAAGAAGCTATTTGTTGCATTTATGGATTTTGGATGTGATAGTAATGTGATTGGTGTTTGAAATTCATGATGAGAGTGAGGTTTTAAAATTAGAACATGTTGGAGAGAAGAGGAATATTTTTCAGCCTTAGGCCTTACAGATGTGTGATGGCACTGTGGCTGGGCTTGATGCTGATGAAGGGCTCTTGATCTGGTAAGGTAATCATGGTTAACCCTTTCCTTGGGTTGACAATGATTATCTTACATTTCCCTAGGCATTGTAAGGCCCATAAGTTTATTGCTTCCTTGTAAATATAATAAAAAGAGGACAACTTGGAGGGTGTATAAATCTGTAGTGAAGAGAAGGAAGGGTAGGGGTAGCCCTAGGAAGGGTTGGGGTAGCCCTAGGAAGGGTTGGGGTAGTCCTAGGAAGGGTTGTGGGGAGGAGGTGAAGGAGGTTTTGCATGCAAGGGACTTCCAGTAAGCATGTGTGAGTGTGTTCGATAGGAGTCAGTGGAGGCAAATGGTGTTTATGACTTGATGTGATATTGGAGTGTGAGGAATGTAACATTTATGAGGGGATTAAGGGAAACCAGTTAGCTGGACTTGAGTCCTGGAGATGGGAAGTTCAGTGCCTGCACTCTGAAGGAGCGGCTTAGATATATTGTAGTTTTTGAACTGTAGCATTGGCATGCCTCTGGCAAGGCAGTGATGGAGTGAGTGGTGATGAAAGTGTTTCTTCTTTACGGCTCACATTGCCATAATGGGAAATGACTGATGTATTAAAAAAAATTAATGCACTTGCCATCTCCCACTGAGGCAAAGTGACTCAAAAAAGAAGAAATGCTTTCACAGAGTTTTTCTTCTTTTTACATTTAGAAATTTATACAGGAGAAGGGGTTACTAGTTCTTTACTCCCAGCATCTTATGACACTCATGGCTTACAGAGGAAGGATTCTTCTCCATTTCTGCATGGACTAATAACATGTAATAATAATAATAAAAAGGTAGGTGGTGCATTGAGGTACAGTGGAACCTCGGTTTTCGTATGCCCTAATTTGTATGTAAAACTATAGTTATTCTTTATAAAATGTCTTTTTTGTTAATATTTTTGGGTGTCTGGAACGGATTAATTGGATTTACATTATTTCTTATTGGAAATATTAACAAAAAAGGCATTTTATAGAAAATAACTATGGTTTTACATACAAACTAGGGCATACGAGAATTGAGGTTCCACTGCATTTGTAGAGACTCTAGTACATTCCCTTCTTTGTGTCCATTGTAACATGGATGCAAAGAAGGGAATGTACTAGACTATAATGGTACTAACACTCTTATATGGGTGTGAAGCATGGGTTGTGAATGTTGCAGCAAAGAAGAGGCTGGAGGTAGTGGAGATGTTGTGTCTGAGGGCAATGTGTGGTGTAAATATTATGCAGAGAATTTGCAGTGTGGAAATATAGAGGAGGTGTGGAGTTACTAAAAGTATTATTCAGAGGGCTAAGGAGGGGTTGGTGAGGTGGTTTGTCATTTAGAGAGGTGGAGCAAAATAGGATGACTTGGAGGGTGTATAAATCTGTAGTGGAGGGAAGGAGAAGTAGAGGTCATCCTAGGAAAGGATGAAGGGAGGGGGGTAAATGAGGTTTTGTGTGCAAGGGGCCTAGACATACAGCAGACATATGTGAGTGTGTTCAGATAGGAGTGAGTGAAGACGAATGGTTTTAGGGACTTGACAAGCTGTTGGAGTGTGAGCAGGGTAATATTTTCAAAAGGGAATCAGGGAAACTGGTTAGCTGGACTTGGAGGTGGAATGTACAGTGCCTCCACTTTAAAGGAGGGGTTTGGGATATTGATTGTTTCGAGTGATGTCTGAACTGTCGTATTTGCGTGCCTCTGCAAAGACAGTGATTATATGTGAATGATGGTGAAAGTGTTTCTTTTTTGGGTCACTCTACCTTGGTGCGAGACAACCAGTGTGTTGAAAAAAAAAATAATGTTTAATGTATTTGCACGTACAAGCATGTACATACACACTCCTCTGAGTTTTCTTCTATTCTCTTACTAGTTCTTGTTTATTTCTGCTTATCTCCATGGAGAAGTGGAACAGAATTCTTCCTTTGTGTGTCATAAGAGGCAACTAAAATGCCAGGAGCAATGGCCTAGTAATTCCTTCTCCTATATATTACTAAATTTAAGTAGAGAAAGTTTCGTTTTTCTTCTTGGGTCACCCTGCTTTGATGGGATATGGCCGGTTTTTTTGAAAGAAGTTTAATGTATTACAGATGAAGTTGCAAAAGAAGTGAATGCTAATGTGTTGAGAAGAGGTGTAGGATTACAAGGTAATGAATCTGATAGGAAGTGGGAGTAGTTGTGGTTTGTGTGTGCTGATTACTGTGCTTTTGAGGGATTCAGAAAAGGAGTTGCAGAGGTTAAGCTGTTTTGTAAGGGTGTGATAAAGAATGAAGTTAAAAGGGAACAAAGGAAAGAGCAAAGTGATGGGAATTAAAAAAAGAAAGTTTAAACCAGGGAAGATTCTTGGGTAGAAATGAGGAGGAAGTGAATGTATTTAGATATTTGGGAGATGTTTCAAGAAATGGGTATATAAAAGATGAAATGAAGAATGCAATAGATGACAGAAAAAGGTAGGTGGATTGTTGGAGTCTGGAAAAGAGAATTTATCAGTAGAGGTAAAAAAGAGTAATGTGTCAAAATATAGTACAATAGTATTGCCACTTTATGAGTTTGAGGTGTGATTTTTTAATATTAATGTGAGGAGGCAGTGGAGATGCCATGTTTGAGATCATTGTTATGAATATTATGCAAAACAAACAAAGAGTAAAGAAATCAGAAGACAATATGGTGGTATGTACGGTATAATTTAGAGAGGTTTGGAAGGAGAAATATAGGTTGACCAAAAGTGTGCATAAATGTAGAGTGGATGGAAGGTGATATAGAGGATGTCTCAAGAAAGATTGGAAGGGGAGGCTGTAAATTAGATTTTTTTGTGATAGGAGCTTTAGGATCCAGTTGTGTGAAGGGAGACAAGGAGTTTTAGAGATTCTGTGTGTGTTTGGGGTGTGAGCAACATAACATTTATACATTGATTCAAGGAAAGCAGTTAGTCAGTTCTGGAGGTGAGAAGTATAGTGTCTTCACTCTGAAGGGTGGGATGGTGTGGTTCATGGGTTATTAGAATGTAATGGCTGTGCACTTATGGCAAGACAGCTAAAGAATAAGTAATGGTCAGTGTGTTTCCTTCTTTGGGTTAAAAAATTATGTATTTACACTTTTTTCCTTTCCCTCCAGGATATACGTGCCCAAATCCTCACAAAGTACGAAGCCACTCAGCAAGATCAAGAATTCCAACGGAAAAAAAAGCGGTACACTTACCTACACGAAAAGTTGGCACATATCAAGAAGTTGGTGCGAGAGTATGATGCTACACATTCCTAGCACCGGTTATCCACCCTCGCACCGCCACTCCGGCACCCAGCTCGCCAGCCCCACAAAGTCCCAAAGAGGGGGAAGGATCTGTAGTGGTTACCGAACTGTGCCTCAGCTTTTTAATATGGTATCACGTGAAAAAAATGAAAGAAAATATTTAATCTAATAATCAAGTGAAAAACTAGTGATATTAAAAAATGGAAGAGGAAGAAAATATTGTATATGTTGCTGAAGATATTTCCTGTTTAAAGGATAATTTTTTCAGTTGTCAATAAAATATGATATACGTGACTATTTCAATTTAATTCACTGGAAGTGAAAATCCTCTGCCATTGTTTCAATATTATTCCCCCACTGTAATTAAGAAAATGGGTTGGGTGCAGCAAAGAATATATTTGTGGGTGGTTCATACGCGGTGTGTGTGGTGTGTGTTTGCGTGCGTAGTGGTGTGCCAAGAGATGAGGATAACACCCACCTTTACCTTGGTGTGTTCTCAAGTGCTTTTCCCCATACTTCCAGCTGTGTTCTCCCTAATGTGCTTTGCCCTGGGTGAGTTTCACACATGACATAATATTGGTGGTGTGGGTGTATGATGTGGTAGTCCTCCTGACCACATCCAGACAATATACTATTTAAAGGAGGAGAAACAGACCCATCTAGTACCATTTGTTCTGGTACTAGTTGCAAGGAAGAGAATCAACAGGAAAAGATTCTTAAGAAATACAGTTCTGTCAGACCTGCCAATTGTATAAAGTGAACAGTGGATAATGTTGAATATATTGTATAAAGTGTAAAGGTATTCTATTTTATTAGAGTACTCCATCGATTATGGACGAGAGTTTTAAGCTCTTAGTTCCATATACTTAGTATGAATGTATATTTTATATCATTCCATGAGGAGATCAGGCCCCAAATGTATGGATAGTGCTTCAATATGATTGGTTTTGGAATATGCCAAGTTAGAAGTGTCATATGTCATACATGACGTAAGAGTTGATATAATTGTGATACCATGCAGTGCTGTTTTAGCGTTGACTTGGATACCTCTTCGTGTTGTTAGAAAGTAGTGAGTGACCTATATTGTTCTTGTCAGGGCAAGTGGTGTTTATCTCATTAATGGCAGAGTCAAGGTGACTCCAGCCCTTCGCTCAATGGGTCAGGCCTTGTGTCCTTGCTTGGTTAAGCCCACTAGACCAATTCTTATGCCCATTTCACAACTCCTTTACCCGCTTGTCCCTCTTGATGGAGGAGAGTAGGGAAAATAAGTCCCCGAATTGCCTATCCACACTTCATACCAAAAGTTTGGAAGTGATAATTTGACTAGACTGTTAGACTGTGACTTTATGACTACATGATATAAGAATTTGTGATTACAACCAAAAAGACAATGATTACTTTGATTACTTAGTATCTGGATAGGGTAGTGTAAGTTGTGTGCCACCATGATAATCATATGAAGTAACAGAAGCCAGTAGTAGATTCTGGAAAAACTATTCCTTTTATAAAATTTGAAATATTTGTCAGTTACAATGTATTCATTGATTTCTTTTGCACTTTACTAAAATCATTATTTGAACAATTAGTTGTTAAGAATGTACTGTATTACAAAACACAACACATCTGCAGGTTTTTCTTCTTTTTATGCGAGTACAAGCATTAATCCCAACACCCAGCTAATGAAATGAAGAAAGAAAGACACAGTCAGGCAAGGTTGTTATGTTTTTGATTTGTTAAAATGCTGGTTCTAGTGTCATGCTGGGGTACAAACTAATTTTTTTTTGACTTGAGTGAAATTCTACAAAAATGGAGTATATCACAAAATAAGCATGTTTTTTTTTTTTTTTAATTTCATTGTTCAACAACAAATAGATGGTTGGCATGTGTATGCAGTATTATTGGATTATAAAAAAGGTTGATCTGGAATAAGATAATGTGTTAGACAATAATTAATTAAGTGAAAAATACATTGTTTATTAAATTTCAGAGTAATGGTGGTGTTCTGTAAGGCATTTCCTTCTTTCTGAAGCTATTTTGACTAGCTACAACAAATCATCAGTGCCCAGCAGAATGGGCAGATAAGCTATTTTGCCCAAAATATTCGACTGGTGCCCGTGAAGTTAATCGCCTCCGTGAGTCTGTCCTTGAAATGTGCCTGTAATTATTTTTTTTTCATGGTTGTGATCGCAGCATAGCTGAATTAACGTGTTTCACAGACGAGTTGTAGCTCTGCATTATTTAATGTTACAGTGTATGGATGCAGGTATGTATATTTGAATCCATAGTTTGCAAGGAAAACATGATGCTTTGCACTTCATCCACTTATGACATTAGTATTGCAGTTCCTCTCAGTGTTCTTGTCTTTGTGCCAGTCATGCAAAGATCCACTATGTATAAAATCAACATGCATAATGCTTGCTTCAGTCAGTGATTACTCAAGATTTTAATTTTTTTTTTTTTACCAAATTATCATTTATACTTGGTTTATTGTTTAATAATTATATTGTTCAGAGATGTTCACCAGAGGTGTTCTGTTTTTTATCACCTCATCATTTTATTTTAATATATAAAAGAGATATATTAATATTGATTATGTTAGCATGTTTGCTAAATAACCATTAAATTGGTTTCATATATTACTGAGTAACTGTAAACAATACCTTTAATTACTGAAATTACTGTATGTAGGGGAGAGTGAGAATGTGAAAGTTAAGAAAAAATCAAATTACACATAACTTTAACTTCAGTTTTGGAATTAGTTACACAACTATGATGGACTCGCACACATGAGTGGTCAGAGAAAAGTGATAAAGATTAGAAAGGTTAGAAAACAAAAAAGATTATTTTGTGGGTGTATGTATGTATTTAATGAGATGTAATTGTTGTGTGTATGATTGCTTATTTGAGTTTGCAGTGGTTAGTGGAGTTGAGCTCTACCTCTTGGCTCATTATTGAGTTTTTTGCTGACATGACATTTTCTGTGAGTAGGCCCTTCCCTCATTAATGTCATCACTTGGTATTTAATCCTCATGTTATTGATGTGGCTATGAAGTAATTTTGGTTGTTTTTCATTTTGCTGTAGTGCCATTCTTTAGCTGTCTCTACTTTCCTCCTGATCCCAATGCATTCTTTTCCTGCACTCTTGCTAGTTTTTCTCTTTTCTAGTGAGGGTTTCCATTTTTAACTATTTAAAACTATTTATCAGGATCTTTGGGTAAGGAATTTTCCAGTGATCTCTGCATAGCATTGTTTCATTAAAGAAATGTTTTGTTACATGGTGTTCACCTTTTTTCTACGCTGGTCTCATTTCTCTTTAGTCTTTCTTGCATTCCCATCTCTGAGATAGTGAAATGTTAGTATACTGTAATTATTTGTTTATGGAGGGTAATGTCCGACTGTTTGTGTTGATGGAAAGTGATGTCCAACTGTTTGTTGCCTCTTATTTTTCCAACTAACTGATGTAATTGAGCTTTGTTATATCTTTTTTTATTTTTTCAATATGATTGAGCTCTGTTGTATCTTTTTTCAGTGTGTCATTGTTTTTTTTTCAACACGCTGGCCATCTTCCACCGAGGCATGGTGACCCGAAAAAGAAACACTTTCACCATCATTTACACTATCACTGTCTTGTCAGAGGCATGCAGATATGATAGTTTAGATGTCCCTCTAAACAGGAAATATTGAATAAATGTTTCTTGACCTCCCTATGATATGTTTCATAGTGTAATTTCCAACCATTCCCCCATGTTTTTGTAGTCTTCTTGTAAAGAATATCCATGTATACACTGTTTATGCCCTGTAGTATTTTGCCTGTCATGATCACATCCCTATTTTATTCATCTCTCATTCAGTGGGAGAAGGCCTAGTTCTCATATTCTTTCTTTGTATCTCATTATCTTCAATTCAGACACCAGTTTTGATGTATTTTTGTGCACACATGCACTGTATATTGAAGAATGGTTACATGTATGAAGTATAAGTTTTTTTGAGTCTTTTGTCTAGCTTCCTAATTTTTCTTGCTGCTGCTGCTGTTCCTTCTGGCACTCTTTGTTTTTGGCCTCCTCTCATCCATCTTCTACCTTCATAACTTAGCTTTTGCTCTGGTTGAATTTTAGTATCCATTTATGTGAGCCTTCTACTTGCAGCATGCTTTTATTCACTTCGGTTTGTATTCTCAATATTTTTGCATTATCCACAAAGATATATAAATATTAACTCCTGTAATCAGGTTCATTCCCTGTAGTAACTGCTTTCTTTTAAATTAATCCTTATCCATGTGAGTACCTATACATTTTACCTCAACTTGCTTTACCAATATGTGAAGTATTATCCTATGTGACATTCTATCAAGAAGACCCTTCCCCCTCCTTTTACTTTGTAATACCAGCTGTTTCCCACTACAGTGGGCCCCCGGTTTACAATATTATTTCATTCCAGAAGTATGTTCAGGTGCCAGTACTGACCGAATTTGTTCCCATAAGGAATATTGTGAATTAGATTAGTCCATTTCAGACCCCCAAACATACACGTACAAACGCACTTACATAAATACACTTACATAATTGGTCGCATTGGGAGCTGATCGTAAACCGGGGGTCCACTGTATTTTCACCATTGACTCTGTCACTGGTTTGCTTAAGGTGTGCCTACATTACAGCTTAGATGCCCCTCCTTCAGAGAGCAGGACTCAAGTCTGGCTGATTGGGATTAGTTATCAGAAGCCTTGTTGCAGTTTATTACAGTACCATGCTGAGTTTGTGGATTTTGCATTTCAGCTCTTGTGCCACCCTCTTAACTTTCTGTTTGCTGACTTAATTTGATTCTGATATCTCTGTTTAAATTTAATGTGATTAATTATTTTAGTTCCTTACTATGTTGCTTTAAAGTATTTCCTGACATCTGTCACTTAATATGAATATCATACTCTATGAAATCCTACTGGTATATTAGCCTCTCATCCTTCTGAATTTTTCACATTATTTAAAAGATTCCTTACTGTTGAGTTCATGAATTTAGCTATTCGTGTTCCTCCCCCCCCCCCTTTCCATGTGGCTTTCCATGAATAGTGGCTTTTCTCCAGTCATGTACTTATCACTGTAAACCATGTTATATGTCATGCTCTGGTCAAGTTTGACTACTGTTTGGAGGAAAGTGTGTTGATGGTCAGTAGGTGCTTTCCATAAACATGCTTATGCCACAAAGCATCATATCTTCTATCTTGCTTAAAATTTTTTTTTTTACACAGATCACCAAATCACAGAATGGGTGGTGCTCGAACCCAAGGAAAGCGAGCCCTAAACTCATGTTGTGATTTCATCAGTTTTTTTTTCACTTGTCTGTACTTAAGGGCACTACTCTGTCACAGTTCTATGTGAGAGTGCCCCAGTCTTTAAGGTTTTAGATAGCCATGATGACACTACATATCCATGACACGAACAGTTTTATATCAAATCATTTGCCCATTCCACTACTTCCTCATGCACAGTTTCCTCTTTTATTACTGAATTCCTTCACAATGCACACAAATCTTCAAATCTCAAGAATATTTCATACATTATTCACATTTGCAAAAGTAAAACTTCGTTCTGGTTAAGGACCTTCTACACAAATTGTCCAAAAGCAGAATACTACTTATTCATTAGTTTCCATGCCTGTTAGCATCGAACACAGTTGACAAATGAGCAGTCAGACACACAAATAGCTAAGCTGCTGGAGAAAACACAAAAGCATAAGTCATATGCTGTATACACAATGTTGTTCTTAGGATTGATACATGTAAACCATGGAGTAAGCTTCAGTTTGTATCTGTTATCTTGTTTAGATTCTAGCTTGATATTTTAATGAAGGAATGGTTACTGTCACTGGATTGGATTACTGTGAATTACTCCTTACTGATAATTACAATATTGGCCTAGATATTTTTTATTCATAATTAAATTTTTTAAAGTCTCATTTTCAACAGTTTTATACATATTAAATTTTTTTAATAAGCTAAAGTTTTGGTAAATTTGAATAGTACTAAAGTTCTGATAATTTTTATTAAATTATTTAATTTGTTTCCATCAGTTGCAATTTTAAAAAACTAAACAGTGATTTCACTGCCTAGATTTAAAAGTAGAATAAGAAATTGTGATAATTGAAAAAGGAATAAATAATTTGTTAGTTTGCCATGTTGATAGAATAGTACTTTTTTGTGTTTAGTCATTTGCTGCTTGTCTTTTAAACATATTTTGCTATTGCTGAATGATTTGAGAAGTGTTAATGCTGGCTATAGTGAGTTATTTCTCACAGTGTAATCCAGGTAGACTCCAGTCCTTGGCTCAAGTAAATGTGCCACTGAATTAATATTGTAAGTATAGTGGTTCATTAGACTGGGATTTGGCTTCATAGGTATTAATTGTGGATGACTGGCACATATTTGGTTCTCTTCGTGGTATGTTTTGTGTTGAAAGAATAGTAATATAGTGAATTTTATCTACCCAGTTGTGTATTTGTAAGGATCTAAGTATCCGCCAGTTATTTATTTGCTCAGTGAATTACATATAGAAATAAAGAATGTCTATGTATGTGACTTTGACTGTTGTGACCTTGACAATGAGACTTTTATTATATTTCTGACATGAAGACATCTAAGCTTCCCTCTTGTTAGGTGCCATAAATCAGAATGTATTAGCTATTCTTACAGCTTGTCTGGAATATGAACTTTCAGGACAGTTGACCTGTAAGTTATTTTCAATAGGTACATAAATTTGTATCTGGGGTAAAGTTGACATTATGGGTTAGGTCTTGGATCAGTGAAGTATATTACTGGAGTTGTGGGCAAATTATATATTTAATAAGGCTTCACTGTGCCCCTGAAATTTTGCAATGTTTATGTCCTATCAAGGAAGACACATTAGACTTAGTGACTGACAAGACTTGGAGCACAAAATGCTGCCATGGTTTGCAAGGCTGATGTCATCATGCTGGCTCTGTTGCACACTCACTCCACAAACTGTCATCAGTTCAACTGCTCTTTATTGTAGTTCTCAGATAATATGTATTGGATTATCTCTACTAGCATTCATGTTTGTGCACAGGTATATTCATATGTTATCTTACATTCATATATCCCCCCCCCCCCACACACACACATTCATTCATTCATTCATTCATTCATTCATTTCATTTCCCTCAATTTTTTTTCTTCAGTTTTTCCTGTACTTCGTTCTCACCCATCCCAACGCCGCATTCTTCCCCATCCCTCCAGCTCATAATCTTCCCCATCCCTCCAGCTCATAATCTTCCCCATCTTCTCTCCATATGTTTTCCCTTTCTCTGTTCTGTCTTTAAACATGTTTCATCCTCTTGTCCCCTTCTCTCTTTTCCCTACATCTTCTCTTTCCTCCTATCCTATCTTTCTGCTATTTTTTTCCCCCTTGTATCTTCTTTCCTCTTCACCCCATGTTTTTACTCTTCCTCTGTCCCCTTCTCTTTCCCCCTACATCTTCCCTCACTCTTCATTTTGTGAGGGTGTGCTCAGTCCTACACTCTCACACTTGCTTCCACTTCCACTTGCGAGGTGCCTGCATTTGCACGTGTTAATATCCATATACATGTTGACATGCATGTTTGCAATCATGTATCATCTCACTCACTCACTCACTCACTCACTCACTCACTCACTCACTCACTCACTCACTCACTCACTCACTCACTCACTCACTCACTCACTCACTCACACACTCACTCACCACCAACTCACACACACACACACACACACACAACCACACACACACCACACACACACACACACACACACACCACACACACACACAAACACACACAAAACGACACCACCCAAAAATTTGCAAACTACAATTGTATTTCAAAACATAACACAGGTTTTCAGTATGAGTAGCAAAAAAATAGTGAATCATTTTTGCAGTGACATAGTGCGAATCGACTCTGTACTCAGGTTGAAATATAGGCGAAATAAAGGCATATTGCATAAGTTAGTGGAAAGAAGTGGGACCAAGTGCTAGAACTCATCACTCAGAAAATCAAAATTGGTAATTAAAAATAATTACAGATAAGTACTGTAATTATGTACAGGAGGAAAGGATACTGGAAATTAATATTTGTTTATTAAAAGATGAAATAAGATTGCTAAGTTACTTTTAAATTACAGAAAAAACAGTGCAGAAAATAAACTAGAAGCTATTTCTTTACAAATAGAATGGTATATAAGTTGAATGGAATCCAAGAGGAGCTAGTAACTTAAAAAAACGTTAAAGCTTGGCTCTGTTTTTGCAACAAAATTTAAATAATCTCTCAATCACTGAGGTGAATATACACCCCAAGCATAAAGTGGCTGATTTCTGGAATGAAATCTGAGAAGAAATTGTATGTGCCAAAACCTTTGTGAATTCTAAAAGCTTTTACAATAATTTTTTAACCCCATGTCAAACGAAACAGGACACAGTAATTGTAAAACTCTCTACCTCTGTAAACATCAGCAGAGGAAAAAAAAAAAAGGCCCCGGGCTATTTCTTTATACACAAAAAAGTGATGCAGACGGGATACGGGCTAATGTTAAATAACGTTTTGTATCTTAAGGGGAGGTAGTGGCGCTACTTTTTATTTTGGGTTTTTTTAAAAAACTCGTGTGACGAAATCAGGATGGGAAACAGAAAGCTTTTTACTCTCTAAAATAGTAATTTTCCAGAACAAAAAAAAAATTCCTGAATGGTTCAACGGAAATACAATGGGGGTAATTTCAATCTTTCATTAAAAAGGTCAAGCAGGTTATTTGTGTTGCATTTTTTTTACTGACTAAAACCATCAGTTAAAGTGAGGCAGGTATAAGATCTAGAGCAAAATGTTGAATTCAGATATGTACCATAAACCCCCTTCATAATTGTGAGAATTTCTGTAAAAATTGTCCCTTTTTTAAAATGAACAATGGGGAAAAAAAAAGGTTACATTCCAAATGCCTCCATATTTCCCAAATTTTTTTTTTTTTATTTGCTAGGTACAGATTATCTTCCCTACACTAGTTGGCTTGCATGTAATATACTGTGAAAAGGTTGATTTGGCCCTACAGTTTTAGGTGGATGGCTGTGGTTTCATGCTGTACAGATAGGGATTCTCTGAACCAAAAATAAACATTTTGTACTGTGTATCACCTCTTAACATACTAATCTAAATTTCCACTTTCGCAGTACCATCAGGCTCCATCTTATTCTTTTTGGACATCAAGATCATTATTATTCCACTTAGTGGAAATTTTTAAGATCCAGAGATGAGTGGGGATAAAACGATCCAAAACCCTTTTGAAACACGGAATAAGGCATGCGCACCCTCGCAGAAAACATCTGAGGGGGGCCCGGGGTGGCAGCGAGGAAGGTGGGGAACTGTGCCTCTCCAAACACTCTTTTGGGCCCAGCTAGGGTTTAAGGGAAAAAAAATTTCAGGGGCTTTTAAATACCCCAATTTTGCACAAAAATTATTTTTACATCAAGGGTTTTTTCCTCACGTTTGCAAAAAATTGCATATGTAGTGTTTTTTTATAAAAGGGCTTACGAATTACTTTGGGGTTTCAGGTACTTCAAAACCCAACGCACGACGCACACGAACACATGCAGACGAACACCTCATTTTAGCCAGTCATTTATCTGTACATGTAAACATCTTTACACCTGCACCCACTTATTTGCAGTCAAAAATTTAAAAATATGGTTTTTTTATAGTTTAAAATTCAAATATTCATTTCCCAAAACTTACTAGATTAGTTTTTGAAGGGGCACTTTTTATCATATTTTTTTCCTTTTTTAACAGGATCATCTTATTGTGTTGGAGACTAATTATTAAGAATTTTTGGCTTTGCTGTTTAAAATGGGTCTAATAAAATTCAATTTTTTCCCAAACTTGTAAGTTCCTTGTTATCAAGGGTTGTGTCTTAAGCATGTTAAAGCATAGAGGTCCTTTAAAGTTTTGCAAAAAAGGTTATGACAGCATTTTGACAACAGCCGTGTTGAGGTTAATCTTTGGGCCCATTTTCAGTGTTATTTTGCCCTTGTTGAGGTATTCCTCTAACATTGATGGTTACTTTATCTGTTTTAGGCCTCTCTAGCATGGACCGAGTCCCTTTTCTCGGGCAATTGTTAGAGTGCCTCCCTTGCATGGGCCCCAAATCTTTTCTCAGTCAAATTTTTGGAGTGCCTCTTTGCCTGGACCAAATTTTGTACTTGGGCAGTTGTTTGAGTGCCTCTGACGCGCAGGGTCATTACCGGGCAGTCAATGGGGTGCCTCTCTGACATGGGCTAGTTCCTAAACTTAAAAATTTATTGAAGAGAAGCGAGTTGTATTTTTGAGAATAATAGTATAAATTTTGGGCAATATGAGCATCTGGTGCGTTTTAAGTGACCAAACGAAGAAATAATTAGTTGGTATTATTTAACTAGTTAGGTAGTGCGTATTTTATTTATATTTCACAAAATTTCAAAAACTACCCCGTCAAGTTTTACTTTATTTTTTTTATATGATTTTTGGTTTCTACTCCATTTTGGAATTTTCCCGAAACTTTCTGCCTAGAAACTTGCCTTGTGAAGGGGATTCCCCTCATTTTTTCCCCTCCCCATGAAATAATAAAGGAAAGTATAATACATTTTTCCCTAAGTAATTAATGGTTTACAGAAAATTGTGGCCCCAAAATAGCCCGTAAAAAACCCCCACGAACGTCCCCAACGTTGACGACTGCTGCCCGGCCAGGCCTCCCGCTTTCCCCTATTCCTGCAGTTTTCTTTGCTTTTATTATCGTTACTGTAATTATTTTTGCTTTAATTTTTATGCAAATAGAGGGGTTTTAAAATTCAGAAAGTGGGGGATTGGGGAAGGAAAAAAAAAATTTAAATAAAAAGTAAAATTTTAAACAAAATACCAAAAATAAGTTCGCACACGCAGCACTATCCCGCATGGCCGAAGTGAATATGTTGTCAGGGTTTGTCACAACAGTGGGAGAAGATCACCAAATTTTGAAAACAAGGACAAATTTGGTTTTTTTAACAACACAGTATTTGGGATAGAAATGTCATTCTAATCTGCTCAAAAATATGTGCAATTTGAATGTTGCATTCATATTTTTTCTGAACACCTTAATTATTTAGGGCCACTGAGCTAGAATCCACTGAAAAAGGGCATTTTATTGAAAGCAGTTTTGATTATTAATTTTTTGTACAAGTTTAAAGGTTAGTTTAAAGATTAAAAAATTTTTGTTTTTTTTTTTCCCCAAACCCGATAAAAGAAGGTTTATGTATTTCACACTGTTTGAAATCAATTTGCCAACTGTTATGATTGGGATAATAAACTCAAAAGACAAAAAAAAAAATCTTTGTTACTTAACTAGAGTTGACTGTTAAAACTCATTTTTTAAAAACCCGGTTTTTTTTTTCATTAAAATATATTTTCATTTTTCTTAAAAATATAAATTTTTTTCAGGCTGAAAGCCAAGATTGGTTGTTTATCAGTTCACTGGGGAACTGTCAAATGTTTTCATAATGAGGGAAAAAAACCTTTCCAAGCAAGTGAATTATGGAGTTCAAGTGCCATTGAAGGAAAACCCCAAAGGTCCTTGTCCATGTCGGGAAAATTCCAGTGTTAAAGTCCAAAAATTGAGGCCGGCGTTTTTGGCCAAAACGAAAAATTACCGCCCCTTTGTTCTCGCCAACGAAGGGTTTTTTTGAGTTTGGCCAAATGAAAGATTAAAGGCCCGGAATGATGCACGGTAGCCGTCCGTCCCCTAGTGGTCAGTGGGGGGGGAAAAATTTAATTTTTAGGGAGAAGGAGGGGGGAAACCTTTTTTTCCCCCCTACTCCCCTTTTTTAACCCCCCATTTCATTACTGGGGAAAAGAGAGCATTTATAATTTTGGGGAAATTAAGTGATGTTGGTCCCAAACTGCGATGACAAAGCTTTTAAAAGGGCCCAAATTTTTTAAAAATGAAAGCTTTGCATGACTTGTGGATTGGTTTGAAGATGTAAACCCTGAGAGAGTTATTTTTTGTATTGTTAGCTAAAAATTTCACAATATAGACATTTGGTAATAGATTTCATATTTGTATGTATTTTAATCCATGAGACTGCCAATTCTGCAGATGCCGTTTGAATAATCCTGATAGGACAGAATGTCTATGCAAATGTAAAGGACAATGATGCAGTGTTAACCACAAGCAGTGCCTCATCCAATAATTATTTGTTGGTACTTCGATGAGACTTTAATGCCTCTGTCACCTGCTTGGGGATAAATTACATTGGTGATGAAGTGGATAAATCATGCAAAAGTTGATAATACTTGTG